TACTCATGGTAAAATGGAGATAATAATACCGGCATCATCAGACTGCAATGAAGATAATGGACCACCCACTTTAGCCCTCTCTCTATATAAAATTATCTTTTCAGAAAACAAATTCTACTAGATACTTAAACAAATGGGCCTACATTGAATTAAAAAGCTTCTTCACAGCAAGGGAAATCATCGACAAAATGAAAAGGCAACCTATGAAACAGAGAAAAGTATTTGCAAATCATATATTCGATAAAGAGCTAATATCCAAATTAAATAACACAACTCCATAGCAAAAACAAAAAACACTCCAATTTAAAAAAATGGGCAGAGAAAGTGAATAGACATTTTTCCAAAAAAGACAAGTAGTCAACAAGCATATGACTAATTAGTATCATTCATCATTAAGGAAATGCAAATTAAAACCACAATGAGAAATCACCTCACACCTGTTGGAAAAGCTATTATCAAAAACAAAACAGAGAAAGAGATATGTATTGGGGAGGATTTGAAAAAAAGGGAACCCCCATACACTGTTGGTGGGAATGTAAATTGGTATAGGTACTAGGGAAAACATGAAGGTTCCTCAAAAAATAAAAAAACAGAATTAAAACAGGATCCAACAGTCCAATTTCTGGGTATACCTCCAAAGGAAATGAAAACATGATATTGAAGAGATATTTGCATTCCCACATCCATTGAAACATTATTCACAATAGTCAGGATACGGAAACAACCTACGAGATGTCAATGGATGAATGAATAAAGATGTGGTAGAAATACACAACAGAATATTATTTAGCCATAAGAAAGAAGGCAATCTGGCCATTTGTATCAACATGGATGTACCTTCATGGCATCATGCTAAGGGAAAGAAGTTGGACAGAGAAAGACAAATACTGCATGGAATCCCTTATCGGTGGAAATTTTTTAAAAAAGAAAAAGTCAAATTCATTGAAGCAGAGAAACAGAGAGTAGAAAAAGTGGTCACCAGGAGCTGAAGGGTTGGTAAAAACAGAAAGAGGCTGGTAAAACAGAACAAAACTTCAGATTACAGATGACTAAGGTCTCAGGATCTAACATAAAATGTGATGACTTAGCTGATAACACTGTATTGTATAGGAATGTGCTACGAGATTAGAGGACTTTCCTAGCAGATCAGCTGGTAAAGAATCCACCAGCCATGCAAAAGACCCCAATTCAATTCCTGGGTCAGGAAGATCCCCTGAAGAAGTAATAGGGTTACCCACTCCAGAATTCTTGGATGTATTCCTGGTGGCTCAAGACAGTAAAGAGTCTGCCTTTAGTGTGGGAGACCCAGGTTCAATCCCTGGGTTAGGAAGATCCCCTGGAGGAGGGCATGGCAACCCAGTCCAGTATTCTTGCCTGGAAAATCCCCATGGACAGAGGAACCTGGTAGGCTATAGTCCATGAGGTAGCAAAGAGTCGGACGTGACTGAGCAATTAAGCACAGCACAGGGCAAGAGACTAGAACTTAAATGTTCTCACCAAATAAATAATTAGAGGTGATGCCTGTGTTATGAACTAGATAAGCATCATTTCATAATGTACATGTATCTCAAACCACCATGACATATGCTTAAATATCTCACAATTTTATTTGTCCAAGTACATCTCAATAAAGCTGAAAAATACACAATTCACTTTTTATTTTGTATTCTCTCTCTCTGTCTCTGAGCCATCACTCTGAAATATGAAAGTTTCTGGGGCAGAATCTGAAGTTGTAAATAGCTGAATCTTAATGTTCTCTAAGCATTTGCATGCTATGCTTCTGCTGAACATTGCTCGACAACATGGTGTTTTTTTCCCCTTGTGCTGAAAAACAAAAGTTAATGGCCCAATAAGCAAATGAAGACAATTTCAGAAAATGGGCTTGGATAACATGAGAAAAGCAGGGGAGGTGCCTTCCTGAGGATCTTAGAGGACTGTCAACATCCGTCAGTTACAGAATATGTTAGCTTGTCCTGCCAGAGCTGCAGAATTTCTCTTCTTTAAAATCACAGGTGATATTTTATCTCTGCCAGTGGGAGGGGAAACCACCTCATATACAAGGGAAAGTCAGTAACTAAGAATATGCACAAGTTTCAAAAATTAGTCACTGGTTACCATAGTAACTCAAATATTGCCTAACAACTCACTGGGCTATAAGTAACCAAGATGATGCTAAATACATTACTTCAAAATGGGAAATGGACTCTATTTTTAGGAATACTTGCAAAGAACTAGATGGACCTAACCGCAAACTGAAGGTGGCTCAGATTTACCCCTGTGGACCCAGGATTCAAGGTCCATCTCCTGCCCTGTGTGGGTCAAGTTCTGGGTCACATGCATGTGTTATGCCCAGAGACAGCTGCAGGAGGAGGAGTGATGACATTTTATTTACAAACAAAAAATGAGCTTTCTCATTCCTTAAACTTTTAGTAAAGGAAGAATCCTTGCTATTGGGCAGTGAAGACTGATAACAGATTTAGGTGGCAGTCCCTTTAAATTCAATGTTAAGAATTTCCTCAGGCCAAACAAGATTTCTCAGAAAATAACTAGCATGCCCAATAAAATAATAATTCTCCCATTGATCTAAGTAGTTTGAATTTTCTAAGTAGATATTAATGTTAGTTAGAATAAAAGTATAAACAATATATGAATTTTTAAATTATTCTAACAACTGACTGTACAACACCACCCTCCTAAATGAAACTTAGAATGTGACTTCTGTTCATGGTGCACAGTGCCTGGGACACTGGAGCCCCGAGTCTTCAGAAAAGTGATCCTGGAGCAGTGTTCTTCCTAATGGTCCCTGAGTACCTGCATCAGAATTCCAGAGGGTCCTTACAGTGTAAAATCCTAGGCCATGTCTAAGGCCCACCCATTCTGAGTCTCTGACTCAGTTGGGATCTGAGAAATCTCCATTTTAAAAAGATGCTCCCTGTGATGTTTATGTTCTCTGGTCTGAGAAGTCCATCCTTAGTAATCACCAATACATTGAAGTCTCCTGACAACGAAGACAGAAGATAGGACAGTCATCAGGGGACACAAACCAACATGGTTTATCAAAGGCAGAGCTGTTTGTGACTCAGTGGCTTTTGGGCCACAGCCTAGGGTATAAAACCAGCACAAAATACTTGTATTATATATGTGTGTGTGTGTACGACCCAAGTTTTTCAGAAACAACATGGGTGATGTAGTCTGGCCTACTCTATTATACTCCAATTTTTAATGTTATGGCAACCAACTAAATTGATTTCATTTCCCACTAATTGGTGGTGTTTGAAAAACTCTATTATAATATCTGTTGTCCTATATCTTTATCACTTAATAATTTTTAAACTTTTTCATGTAATATCCTAAATAGTAGAAGGCCATTCAGTCTTTTCCAATATACCCCCAAAGTCACAATATTTTAGTTACCTTTAGAGGGTGACTCAAGGTAAAGTGAGAGAGTCTTCTGTTTAAGGGAATCAACAACAATGCATTGAACTGCTAGCATTTAACTTTTATTTATTTACATCCTCTTTATCTCAAAAATAGCACGCAGATTATATAAGTTTAAAATAAATGAAAAATCTTAAGAAAGTGAAGCAAGAAAAAAAGAAAGACACAAAATTGAGGGTTTATGGACTAAATCAAGGGAACAAGTACAAGTAATAAAGACAACATAGGCCAGGAAATCTAGTCTACATGTTAACTCTCAGCTTTCCCATCAGTGTGCAGAGGAAAACATGATCAGTTACGAAAATTCCAGGACCCACTTGGGAAGAATAAGCAATTTCTAAGAAGCATTTCCAGGCCCCTGGCTGTCTTCCCCTCAGGCTGGACTGAGGACTTGTCGCCTCCCTCCCTCCCTCCTCAGGGTAGAGAGGGCAGTCACAGTGGGACAGACCCTATTAGTGCCTCCACCTTCCACCACCGTTTGATTCACAGGGAAACTGAAGATCGCTCTAAGGTTTGGGACAAACAAAGCCAGGAGCCATAGGTCACTGATTCTCCCTTTTCTTGGAGCATTCTATATTCACTTCTGTCCCAGAGCTGACCAACTTATTGTGACGAAAACTGTTCACAGAGCCATCCCCTTCCTCCTCACCAAGCCCAGAAGGCTATCAGTTCCATGAGGACAGTTGTGGCTCCTATGGATATCAGTGAGCTCTCCATAAAACTGAGCTGAATACTAAACTTCTCCAGAAATTCCCAAAAGGAAAAGTGATAGAAGCACAAAGATCTGAATTGGCTTCTTGGTTCTATGGTTTATCGCTCCTGAGATATTAGTCAAGCCATCTGACTGCTATGATTCAGTTTCTTATCTGTTAACCAAAGCCAATGCGGTTTCTACCACAGGTTAGTCGTGAGGATGAAATTAACAAACAGATGTAAGGAGGCCGGCCCAGTTTCCGGCACACAGCAGGTGCTCAATAAATGCTACTTTTCCCTTCTCCTAACAGAAATCTCCAGGATATTGATTGTACTCGCTGCTAGAGCCAGTGTAGTATTCACAACCCTTCTCTCACTTCCAAGTATCCTAGTTAAAATCACCCGTGAAGAAAGCAGAGTTCCCAAGAACCACAGAACACTAAATGCCTTCATAATGCCATCTTCAAAATGGTTTTTGTCATTGTTTCAATGACTTAAAGCAGGGCTTAGAGGTTATTATGGAAAAAAAAAAGTCTGAGAAAGGGAAGCTTGACTAAGTCATTAAGTATCAAATAAATGCTTAAACCAAGCAATAAGGAAGAGAGATAATTAGTAAATTCACTGTTAGAAGGCAAATGCTGTTGCTAAAACAGAACACAGAAGCATATTTGGTCTTTACTCTTGAATGGGCTAAATATCCCCTTGTTAATACTAAAGTAGCGGTTGGTTGCTTTGCAGACTCTGTTTTCGTGGATGGTAGAGATGTAAAATTTAGGCCAGCATGTTTAGTCTTGAGCAGAGAAAACATCAGCTATGTTTTAATTTCCTTTAAGTATAGGTGTTCGGATTAACTAACGTGGTTGACCTACCTTCTCTGTGATGTAGAAGTTGGAGCTATCAGCATGCTGCAGCGCAAAGTACTCATGGTTTGCAAGGGACCACCTGAAAAAAGGCAAGCAAAAGCTGACGACAAAAGCGAAAAGGATCATTTTCAAGTTCATACGCTAGAGCTAGGTGAGCTTAGCACCCTGACTGGAACTGGGCCAGTACCCAAGACACACACAGTGCAGTTCCTAAAACAAAATGACTCAGCCCCGTTATCATGACCCTGAGACCAAGGTCTTATCCCAAGCCTATTGTTAACCCTTAAAGTGTTTTATCTCCACAGCTTTGAGGGAGGGCTCATTAAATATAAAGTTCCATTCCTCCCTATGAAGAAGGAGTGAGTGGAGCAGAGAGAGGAAAACAAAGGAAATGAATGCAATGTAAATTTTTGATAACTGTTACATTTCAGGTGTCTCTGGAGTCTGCCATCCCCACTCAGTATGCTTGCTGTAGACTGGAACATTTCAGTTAAGGATTGTTGTTGTTTAGTCACTAAATCATGTCCCACTCTTCTGTGATCCCACAGACTAACTTGCCAGGCTCCTCTGTCCATTTAAGGATCACAGATCTTAAACAAATTCCAGGTAAAATTCTATTCATAGTTCTGCCTTAAAAATTAAAAAACCTCAGGCAACTTCCATATGCATGGATTGTTAGAGCACCCCAAGAGAAGTAGGAAAGCTATCTTTGTGAAGTTCCATGTGGCAGCACAACCACCCACTGTCTTGTCTTTTAAATTATTTTATCTTCTGCGGGGACCTGAGTGGTCTTCTCACTTTATACCAGAAGAATGATGCACTTAACTTCGGGAACTTAGACTGCTTCCTGCTGAACAGGATGAATGAACCACATCTTTTCAAAGTAAATAAGATCAATCCCAATGTCCACATATCAGGACTTCTACACTTCCCACTCTTTGAGAAACAGAGAGAATGTTTTGGTAGAAAAGACATGGAAATATTACACAGTAATTCTTGCTGTCTTTAGGCAGGTCAAGTAGTGACTTAATGAGTAACATTTAATAATTGCACAAGAATATTTTATTTGCCTTTCAATATGCTGACTGGAGCTCCCTGGATAAATCCTGAGTAACACTTACCCATCACAGACTTCCTTTATTATTGCAGACAGTGGTTTTTTCTGAAAAATAGAAAAAAAGGAAATACTTTCTGTTGGTTTCATTTCATCATTTTAAGCTCTAAAAAAATAAAAAAGAAGAAGAAGAAGAGGCCTAATAAAGACACTTAAATAAGAAAAATTTACATTTGCTATTCTTGGTAGTTGTCAGTGAGTTTGTTTTTCTCAAGGTAATAATCGACCAGCCATCACCACCAACTGCATTAATGATGTATTATCCTTGGGGTCCTTTTTTCTATACTTTAGCATGCAAGTTGAACAAAATATACACCATATTTCACTTGAAAGGGAAAGTGTTAGCCGCTCAGTCATGTCCAACTCTTTTCGATCTCATAGACTGTAGCCCTCCAGGCTCCTCTGTCCATGGAATTGTCCAGGCAAGAATACTGGAGCAGGTTGCCATTCCCTTCTCCAGAGGATCTTCCTGACCCAGGGATTAAAACCGGGTCTCCTGTATTGCAGGCAGATTCTTTACCATCTGAGCCATCAGGGAAGCCCCAGTATTTAACTTAGTCACATTAAAATCAGGATGAAACATAGTTTTGGTCAAAGATCTCATAGGCAATAACAACCTACAAAGTCAATTGATCACCAGAGTTCCTCAAGAGTAGTTTGGCTTTATGCAAACAAGCTTGGATGTAGAGTAATTTTATGAGAACATGAGGCAAATGGAGTATGAAGCATAGTGACATTGCTCCAACAAAGTACACAGAATTCTTCCCACAACTGTGGTCCTGGCAAATGTCAATCATGCAGCAGCTTGAGTAGGACACACTCGAGTAACGGGACCATGGCACCATGTGCTATGGTGTCAACTGGCGGCTGACTACAGCTGTACTCTTGGCCTAACAGCCGCAGCTGTGCGCTGCCTGCCTCCAGATAGAAAGAATGTAGTGAAGAGACACAGGCAGCTCATCTAGAGATGTCGAAACTCTTTCTGCTTTGGATGTAAACAGACCCCAGCTGTCTCCTGGGATGGGCAGGAGTGTGTCTACCAAAGGAACACATCACAGACAAGAAACAAATGGGGAAGAGAAATCAAAGAAATACAACACATGGTCCTGGATTTTCAAACACAACCACAGAAGAGCACCGAAAACACTTTCCCCTCCCGTCCCTCTGGGCACTGTGGTATGGCAGAAGGAATTTGAATCAAGCAGAATTAGTTTAAAACCTAGCTGTGTCAACTTGCTTGCAGTGAGACTGACAACTTCCTTAATTTGCTGAACCACAACTAGCTTATCTGTAAAACGGGCAGACCTACCCACTCCTCAGGGTTGTCATAAGAATTAAATGAAAATTAAAATAAAGGGCAAAAAACTCAAAAAAGGGTTAGGGCTCCACTTCTTTACTCTCCCGTGTCACTAGAAGAGCTTGATTTCCTCTTTGCATCCTTGCCCTCGGACCCAATGTTGCTAGGTCCCCCTCTTGGTTAATTCCAAGCACTCCGTTGTCCTTCATAGTCCTTTCTAAGGACTTCAAGGCTCTGATAAAAGCTCCAGTGCTGCCCTCAGTGTTCTTCCAATGCTCTCCTGCACTCTGGAGCACTAGGGTCTATGACTAAGCCCACCACCATGTTTTCAAAAGAACGTCTGCCTACAGCTCTAAATGCAGTGGGCAGAAGAGGGACGGAGAACTGTGGAGGGGTGGAAAGATAGTGCATATTAGCATCTTGAGTTAATCTCTTTTAGACTAAGATTAGAAATGGAGATTGGATTCGACAATGAAGTTACATGTTACACAACTTGAGGCCTTTGCAAGAACTTGTCCATTGTCTATGGCTCTGGCTGTGAATCGAAAAGCAAATGTGCACTCCCAGCCAAAGGAGAAAGGAGCCTTAGGAACAAAACTCTTTCCATAAGTTGAGGATTTTGCACTTCCAGCTGTCAGAGACCTCTCCAGGGTATTAGCATTTCATGAGGACCTACCAGTCTCCTAGATTAACTGCAGTGGCTCAGCTGGTAAAGAATCTGCCTGCAGTGCAGGAGACCTGGGTTCAATCCCTGGGTTGGGAAGATCCCCTGGAGGAGGGAATGGCAACCCACTGCAGTATTCTTACCTGGGAAATCCCATGGACAGAGGAGGAGCCTGGCAGGCTACAGTCCATGAAGTCGCCAAGAGTTGGACACAACTGAGTGACTAACACTTATTTACCTATCAGTCTCCTAACTCCCCCAATCTTCTTGCATCCTCAAAACTAAAATATAAATAACAAGGTCAGATTTCAGACTTAAATTATATTTAAAGGACAGATCGAGCCAAGGAAGTATTGCTAATGATGTAGGAGAAGGCATTTAAATTACTGCTTGCAGAATGGGAATTCTTAAAGTCTAGGTAACTTAGAGGAATTCCTCAGATTTTAATCCAGGTCTGATTCATAGTTTCAGAGTCAAATTTGAAAAGATAGAAGTGGGCTTCTAGAACTATTATATCTAGAACATTCTGAAATTGGCTATATGAAAGGAGTAAAGACTCTGGAAGAACAAAGTTTAGAGATTTAATAGAGAAATATGAGAGAAAAACTTTAAACCCCAGAGGAAAAGGACTCACAGTTAACATAACTGCAGCCTCACCAGTTAAAATGAATGCTGTGTAAGCAAAGGGCTGGTCCTGCACCCTACACCTGTCCCCTCCCTTCTTTACATGTTCCAATGAAACACTGAACTCCACCACCCACACTTAATTCCAATGACTTCACAATTTTCATCTCCCTTAATTCATCCACTTTTTTAATGTCATTACTACCTTCTTTTTGAAACCATCTTTCCAGAGTTGCTGTATTCCCTTCCAGCTCCTACCGTTACAAGCAACAATCCTTTGATAAAATCCAAGAGATCCTTCATTATTTGTTTTACTTCTAACTTCAGATTTATGTTCCTATCTCTTCTGTTTTCATTCAACTGGTCAGTTCCTCATTCATTTAAACTGTCCCAGGTCTGTAATCTGATCCCACTCTTAGAAATCTCTGGCAGTTTCCTAGAACCAGCATGTTAACTCTCCTTCAAGCATCTTATTAAATGCACAAACAAAAATCATTACTCTCACCATTCCCTAAACCAATAATAGCATGTCCCCACCCCCAAATTCTCGCCATCTCAGTCATGATTTTTTCTGTCTCACTATGACACCACTACAGCCCAGAGCATCATTAACCTTTATTTCTTCATCCTCCAGGTCTGATTTGTTACAGGTGGTATTACATCTTCCTCTGTGACATTCATATCATTACTTCTCACCTCCTCCAAATCGCTCTTCTAAAATTTTGGCATTCCTCATTCCAACTCCTATCAGATAAATCATACCCCAGTTCTATCATTCTTAATTCTGCTTCCTCAGCCCCAGTGCCTTTCCTGAGGAACAGCCCATCATTAAAAGCATTAACTACTTGCCATAAATTTCCAACCAAACACTCCACTGGCCTATCAAACACAGATTCCTATCTTGCATTAGTTCCTATATTTGAATCACCTACTTCTAGTAGTTCTTTCATGTAGATTTCTAGAGAACTTATCTTTGCCTTCTCTATTCTGTGATATATAGATTTTCACAAGACACTGGGTCTCATCATTACTTCGCCAAAACCTCTCTCTGCTTTATCCCTTGCAGACCTAACTACCACCTTTGGCTAAGAATTCTCAGGATCCTAGCATCAGATCCTTGCAAATAAGTCTTTACATCACCAGTTTCCTTCTTCCTAATCCCTGCATTAATTATAATTAGGTAAAATTAGACTTTCCCCATAAACTTTGCTCATGTTGTTCTTTTGCTGCAATATCCACCATAGATCTTCAATGACCATCAGCTGTATTGTAGAAATTTCTTAGCTTGTCATCCATGGCCTTCCACAATCTGGTCTCAAGCAATCAAACTGCCTACTGATGTTGTACATGTTCCCCATGCTTTTGGATTAGCTAACGATTCATCCAAAAAAACCCATCCCCACACTTTCACTTTATGCCATTTTTTGAATATCATTTTTGGCTGTGCTAGGTCTTCATTGCTATGAAGGCTTTTCCCTAGTTGCAGCAAGTGGGGGCTACTCTCTAGTTGTGATGTGCAGGTTTCTCTCTGTGGTGGCTTCTCTTGTTGCAGAAAAGAGCTCTAGGGCTCATGGGTTTAATAGTTGCCGTTCCCGGGCTCCAGAATATGAGCTCCATAGTTGTGGCACATAGGTTTAGTTGCTCCACTGCATGGTGGGATCTTCCTAGATCAGGGATCAAACTCATGTCTCCTGAATTGGCAGGTAAATTCTTTACCACTGAGCCACCAGGGAAGCCCCAGTATTCAGGCACTAAAGTTGTGCCTGACTCTTTGTGACTCCATGGACTTTGGCACGCCAGGCTCCTCTGAACTTCCACCATCTCTCAGAGTTTGCTCAGATTTATGTCCATTGAGTCAGTGATCTCAACGTCTGTCGGCTCCTTCTCCTCCTGCCTTCAGTCTTTCCCAGCATCAGGGTCTTTTCCAGTAAGTTGGCTCTTTGCATCAGGCGGCCAAAGTATTGGAGCTTCAGCTTTAGCATCAGTCTTTCCAATGAATATTTACTGTTGATTTCCTCTGGGATTGACTGGTTACATCTCCTTGCAGTCCAAGGGACTCTCAAAAGTCTTCTCCAACACCACAGTTCAAAAGCATCAATTCTTCAGCACTCAGCTTTTTTTACAGTCCAACTCTCACATCCATACGTGACTGCTGGAAAAACGATAGCTTTGACTAGATGGACCTTTGTTGGCAACAAAGTCCCTCTATACTTAGCACATGAAATGAATCACTCTTAAGGACCTAGTATATCTGTCTTATTTTCTTGTCCCTTGAAAACAAGATATCTCAATTCATCTTTGTAACCTTCTCCACCCCTCAGTACTAGTTGCACAGTTCACAGATGCTAACAGGATATAAGAGGAAACTCAATACATTTCTGTTAAATGGAAAACTCACTTACTTTATTAAAAAAAAAAAAAGAACCAACAGAAAAGCCTTGACTATAAAAGTAAACCATTTCC